GAACTCCACCTCGCCTAATGCCGCGAAGGTTCATGAACTGTCGCGCCTCAAAATCGCGACGCCGCCTCTACCGCGAACTCCCCGAAGCATAACTCGCTGAACTGCCGTAGCCCTTTATCCGAACTGCTTCGCACCTGTTCGTTCCCGCGAGCCCGTCCGCCTTGCGAACAATTTTGATCCTGCAACAAAAATTTTTCTGCAAAAAATTCCTCTGCAAAAATCCTTGCTTAGACCTCCTTTTTTTTTGAAAAAGGAAACAAAAAAAATATATATTTGATTTTTTTTTTAAATCAAATATTTTCCGTTAATTAAAGAAATTTGCTTAATTAAATTTCTTTAATTAGGTTTTCATTAATTAACAAACTTTTAATAAACTTCCCTTTCCAGCTTTGCCAGCAGCCTTTTAGCTTTCCTTTGATTTGATTTCCCGCGGGGCCACCAAATACAAGCCAAAAGTGAAGGGAATATTCTTCTACGATTCCTTGATTCCTTAAATATCTCATCTCCAGCAACGAGCAAATGATATTCCCTTCCTCCTTCGCACGCCGAAATTTCCGCAGTAGTAAAATCCTTGCTTAGACCTCCTTTTTTTTTGAAAAAGGAAACAAAAAAAATATATATTTGATTTTTTTTTTAAATCAAATATTTTCCGTTAATTAAAGAAATTTGCTTAATTAAATTTCTTTAATTAGGTTTTCATTAATTAACAAACTTTTAATAAACTTCCCTTTCCAGCTTTGCCAGCAGCCTTTTAGCTTTCCTTTGATTTGATTTCCCGCGGGGCCACCAAATACAAGCCAAAAGTGAAGGGAATATTCTTCTACGATTCCTTGATTCCTTAAATATCTCATCTCCAGCAACGAGCAAATGATATTCCCTTCCTCCTTCGCACGCCGAAATTTCCGCAGTAGTCGGAGACAAAATAGAAGGAATATTCCTCTCAAAGATTCTTTGATTATCCTTCCCTGACTCACCCGCTGCTGCCGCCGCCTTTTCGGACCTTCTGCGCGATGCCTCCTGCCCGCAGAGCCCGCCCGCTCCTTTCCTTTTCTGCCTTCTTCTCGCGCGAACCTTCCTCTCCAGCGCCAAATCGCAGCTTCCCTCTGCCTCCTGCGTAGAGCTTCCTTGTCGCGCGGATACGCGCGGATGAACCCCGCGCAAACCCGCGCGTTCTTCCTGAGCACCTCGCGCAGATCTTGACCCAAGACGCGCAGATCTTGACCCGCAGAAATCTGCGTCTGCAAACTCCTGCCTACTTTATTCCGAACCGAAGCCAGGGAGATCCTTCTCCTTTCAAAATCCCCAAATCGTTTTCTTGCTTCCTGCGCCGCCGCAGTTTTCTTCCTTGCCCTCAAAGCGAAGAAAACAGCAATCGACACAAATCCAGAAGAACACAGAGATTTAACGAGGTTCGGCAAAGATGCCTACGTCCTCGGGAGCAGAGCAGCGAGTTCCTTTCAATAATCAGAAAAGGATTTACAGAATTCAGGGATTCAACTCTCTCAAAGACCTAGGATTACAAACATGTCTATTTATAATCCTAGAGTAAGCCATGCAGTACAATATATAATTCCCAAATTACCCATGTATCGTATAGCCCCAACCCATATAACGTAACTTCCCAATTTGGACAGATTCTTTCGCTCCGCTCCGCTTCGTTCCAGCGTCTGTCCCTATATCGTATATGAGCCATACCATAACAGTTATTATGTAATTTCTTTAGTGGCGAACTTTATTTGGCCTTCGCACCCATATGCAATAAAATTATTGCAGTTTTCCTCTATTGAGTTGTGCCCTATTGGTTTACTACTGTTTGGTTCTATGTGAATTCCTGTGGTTTTGTTTATTTTCCATTTGACTATGCTGTATTTGTATCTGTTTGTTAAGTTTCATCTCGTGTGGCTGTATTTCATTCAGATCTAAGTGAGTTTTACGATTCTGCAAGATGCTTGGATTGCTCCTACACAGTGATGGTGGACTGTTAGACACTGTTGGTTCAGGAAACCTGTAGCATTTTTCTCTCCTCTCCTCCCTGCCACAACTGAGGGTTAAGGCATGCTTGTGCGGGTCTTAGCTGGTGACAACTTGTGTCTCAACATCATATATAACTCATTTTTGAGAAAGAAAAAATTAGCAACTCTCTAAGGGGTCCCGCTTTTAATTTTAAAATTTTATTGTAATTGTCCTCAACTCTCAAATATGAAACTTAAATTTTACTCTATTGGAAATGAGTTGATTGCTCAGGCAATAAAGTTACCACATAGGATGCATACTATTTAGAGTTCTTCACCAAAAGCTTCATGTTTCTTATTACTATACTGTGTTGCTGCCCTTATTTATACATCTACTTTATGTTGTCATGTTGATTCATATTTAGGCACAAGTTTCTTATCACTTAATATCCAAGCACCTTGAAGACGATCATGGCTTCTGATAGAAATTGTTAATATTAAATGTTTGCAGATATTTGCCGATACGTTGGTAAAGAAGGCATATGATAACTGGTTGAACGTTATAGAGTATGATGGAAAAGCTCTTTTAAGCTTCAAGCACAACAATAAGGCCTCTCGTAGCGAAACTTCTACAGCTTCATCATGTAACCCATCCAATTATACCCAACAACTCCAGCAAGTGGCACATCAGCAGTTGCCAGCTCCAGTTTCTGTAGAACAGCCTTCAATTGATACTTCAGTGTCTGTTGGAGGTAAAAAATTCTATAATCTCCACTTTTCCAAATATCTAATATTTTTATATTCTCAATCAGTATATACTACCTACTTTAGCAGGGATATCTGCCACCAGATATTCGCATCAGACCCAACAGATCAACTCAAATGTCCACATCCCATACGATGACACGTCTTTCGCTCCTCAGACTCAATTCAATAATAGCTCATCTCATCAGCCTCTTCTCACTAGAAGCAGCAATACAGGACTTGCTTTGGCCCCCCCTCTTCAACAGCCAAGCTTAGGTTACCAGCCTCTACAAACCGTAAATGCGAACTCTTATGAGGATTGGTCACGTCCGCGTGACAATCGTGGTGTCGAAGACTTCTTCTCCGAGGATGAGATCCGCATGAGAAGCCATGAGATTCTCGAGAATGATGACATGCAACATCTTCTTCGAGTCTTCAACATGGGTGGAGCCGCTGGTGCTAATCTCCCAGAAGATGGATTCGGCTTCTCGTCTTACATGCCGTCTCCATTCCCAAGCTATAACTTCGATGATGATCGCAACCGTTCATCCGGAAAGGCCGTTGTGGGGTGGCTTAAGATCAAGGCGGCGATGAGATGGGGAATCTTTATTCGTAAGAAAGCAGCTGAGCGAAGAGCTCATCTTGTCGAGCTCGAAGAAGATTAGTAAAGCTGTTACTAACCGCCAGTGTTCGGCAGGTAATGTTAGGAAATTCTTCATCTCTGTATAGTAATGTTCTTCCCTTGCTCAGTTTATGCCAATCCTCTAGGGCTTTTTATTTTACAAAACATGAGGAAAGGCTGTTTGGATTAAGATTATTTGGTGAATGGACGAATGTTGTCATTTTATTTCTTTTTAATTTTGTCAGTAGTAAGTATTTGGATTCATTTGTAGTGCGTATTTGAAAATAAGTTCTGATGCAATTTATGTCACTTGTGTGAGCAACATTGATATTGCTTTGTGGGAGAGTTTTCTTTTGCTTTGCAGGAGAATTGAAATGTTGTGGATTTGGTGGGATGAAAATTACTTCAATCTGATTTATAGGGACGGTGCATTTATTATGGGCTATAATAGCATCCATAACTCTTATTTATTTTAAAACAATTGGCATTTAATTATATTTTGAAAGTCTATTTTTTGGACAACTTGAGATGCTGTTAATGTGTTGGATAAATATTATATAAAATAATGCTGCTAATCATGGAAAATATGGTCTGAATTTTCAAAAAAAATGTTACTTTCTTAATTTAATTTTCATACATGTTATGTTTTACAATATTCAAATTTAAAATCATGTTGACATGATATCTAAAAGTACATAAAATTTTAACCTGGTGTTGTGGTTTAATTTTCCCTGAAGTATTTAAAACATATTAGAGCAATTTAAGTATTATCTAACTTTTTAAAGTCCATATCTATCATATATGTTTACTCTATTATCCAATATATTACCAGCCTTAGTTCAAAAGTATGCACATTATGAAATTACAATTAACAAGCATCGTGCATTAAAGATGGTTAAATGTAAAAAATTTAACAAATTCAAATGATTATAAAATTATTTATAAATTCTTAAATTTATTTATTCTTTTTGTTTTGTGTTAGAAAATTTATTATGACATAGGTATGTTTTATCGTCTTAATTTTATATGATGATTTTGTCAACACACAAATGAGATAAGTTGAGAACAACTTATAAGAGACAAAAATTTTCAGGTGAAAATTAAAAATCCAATAAGAAGACAAGTAATGGGTATGCTTCTATTAAAACTATTTCACTAGTGTTTGGTACAAGTTTTAAATGGTGTGGGGATCGGGATTTATCATATCAATATTGGTGAGCATCAACTTCGTTGGCAATATCGAATGTCAATGTTATTGGCGGTGATGGATAAGAAAGTTGGATGGGGCAGGAGTTGGTGTCAATAATGTGCATTGATTTTATTAGTGATGGAGTGCATTAATATTGTTGATGAAGGGAATTATGAGAGTTACAAGCATCAACATTGACCTCATTGGCAATTAGATACATCAACATTATTGATTAAAACATGCAACAATGTCAACAAACATTGATGTTGATGTCAACGATATGCATCAACATTGTTGGCAATGATATGCATCAATGTTATTGATGATGTAAGTGATAAATATGGCGGGCATTAATATTAGTGTCAAATGCACCTAATATTCATAAAAAAATTTATAAATTTATGTCAACACCTAATATTTGTAACCGCCTTGCTTTTCCTCTATCCTGCTTATAACAAAATTCTCGAAGGCCTACGATCCTTTTGATTAAAGTTAGTGTTCAACTCAAGTCGACTTTAGGAAATGTGATAAATTTGGATTTAATAAATCATGAGCGGAAAAATGCAAAAAATTATTTGATATGATAGGTGTTAATTATTAAGAATAGTTTATATATGATTAAAATTTGATGATTTATTTGACTCCTTATCCCTAAATCTAAATATGCTAGTTTTAATAGATATTTTTAGTTAATATTTTTTTTACAATTAATATTAATTATTAAGGATAGTTTAATTTTAAATTAATGTATATCTTATTATAAAATTTCTCTTCTATTTTATTACATCAATTTATCCTATGTAAGCCTTAATCAACATAAGCTAACATTTTCATCAATGATTGTCGAGTTATTTACTTAGCTAATTATTCAATGATTTCTATTTAATTGAACTAACTAGAAAATATATCTATTTAGTAAGTTAGCTAAACAATCTTTCATATTTAGTCAAATCATACAATTTAAATTTGTTTGGGAAGACATAATATTTTAATTGATCATTAACTAAGAATGTCTAACATTAATAAAATATTAAAAAATAATTTATTTAACTTTCATTATAAATTATATTAATATGCTTATTTTAATTTATTTTAAATTTATTAATTAGTAAAAGTAATTTAAAAAATTATATTTAAGTAAACCTTTTCATCTTCTACTCCCAGGGAAAAATTATTCTATGCAAACACCGCATGTAGAGATGTATGCGGTGTCTGATCTCCGCCGTCTATCATGAATTTGGTGGGATTTTTTTTTTTTTAAAATTGAAAGTGCCAAAATCGTGATGGACGGCTGAGATGGGACACTCCGCACAGAATAATTTTTACACGAAAGGCTGCATAAAAAATGTCGACGGGAGGCGAAGAAGTGACGACTGACGAGGGAGCTTTTGCATCAATTAAACCCTCGACGACCAAAAAACAGGGGAAGAATTTGCAACAGGAAACCCTCGACCAAAAGGGGGGAATTCGAGAAGGAAGCTCGCTGGTGAAGGAAAGGATTCCCACGTTTCTCTTCGTCGTAAATCTGTTGAATCCTTCGAATTTTTTGATTTAATAAATCCTCGATTTACAGCCAAACATAGCAAAGACGAGATTTTTAGGAGTCGTAGAAGTTATCTGTGCATTTTACGCTGCTTGGGAGGATTTACGTTAAATATGGCTTACCCCTCCTGGTTTCGCTCAAAACTATCGCCTTCGTGAACGAAGCTTCGCGATACAGTCGCCATCAGAGTTAGCTGGGAAGGCAACAACAGGATCGCTACTTGCAGAGACCGCCGAAACTCCCATCTTTCTCATCCTTCCGCTTGGCTCCTACCAGAAACCATAGAGGAGGGTAAGCCTGTTCGCTACATTCTTCATTTTCACGCGTCCCCACTTTTTCTAGTGCTCCATCTGTATGCTCGTATAAAAATTGTTCTAGTAGCACTTTTGTCCAATCACAACATTAAACAAGAGCCCTATTTTTCAGCACATAGTATTTCAAGAGGCTTCTAGTTAAGTAAATAAGATCATCTTCAGTTTTTCTTTCAATGTTTCTTGTGGAAATGATGATGTGAAACTCGAGGACTCCATCTGTATGCTCTGTATAAAAATTGTTATAGTAACACTTTTTCCAACCACAACATTATACAAGAGCCCTATTTTTCAGTACAAACACTTCATCCATGAGCTTTGTTTTCAATCTTACACATAGTGTTTGAAGAGCCTTCTAGTTAAGACAATGAGATAATCTTTGGTTGTATTTTCAATATAGTTAGTGGAAATGATGATGTGAAACTCGAGGATTGATTTATTAAGGATAAACTTGGTTATCGGTGTGATTTCCTTGAGAGGAAGGAGAGGATTTGAAGAGTGATCTGAAAGAGATCTTCTGGATATATTACAGTTTGTTTTGGTTTTGCCTGTAACTTAAAAGAAATAAAGATGGGAATGAGAGATTGTGATAAAGATGCCAAGAGTTCTCTCTCTCCTCGATGTTCATTAAATTCATAAAAAAATATGATTTTGTAAATCCCAAAAAAAAAAAAAACATATGGGAAACTTGATTTGAGTTTTTGTGGGACTTAATTTTTTTGCAAAATTGAAGTTAAATCTTGTTTTTAAAGCTTTTTCTAAATTTTACTTTGGTTGACTTCTTGTTGACTTTATTTTTAGTGAGGTTTAGTTTTCTTCTTAGAGTTTAGGGTCTAACCTTATGGTTCTCCCTTTGACTATCTTAGAGCCTTAGAAACGGGACCCATCTCATTTTAGGAGTCCAACCTACTTCTTTACCCTTTTGGAGTTTCACATGTGTGGTATTAGCCTCTAGTGCTTAGGAGGTTGAAAACTAACACGATGAAACCCAAAAGTTCCTATAGGACCATTAAGCCTTAGGATTGTCTTATGTACAATTTGCACTTCCGCGGGCACAAACTTTACAATTCGGACGGTTGACACGTTCGATTACCACAATTCACATTGCCTGCACTGTTATTTATCGAAAGCTTAAATAAAAATTTTGAAACAATCGATCGCGGATCATAATTTTGATGAGAATCGAATTCAACTCATTTTTGACCCTATCGTCGATGAGGGTGTTTGAACAATTTCAGATGACGAAACAGACTGCACCAGCGTTTCCATAATGTCGATTTTAGCTTGGAGGAACATCCATTTTGTTAGGGCGTCACGAACGAATAAATTGTACAAAATTTAACATTTTTTTAAAGAAAAAAAAGAGAAAAATCCTTATTTTAAAATCTCTAAATCCCTCAACTCACGCACCCGTCTGTTTTTTTTGTTTTTCCCGTTTGCGGACCTTCCCGCGCCCTAGCTCTTCGCGTCGCGCCTAACCCGTCCTTGAGCTTCCTCTCCCACAAGTAGCCGCTTCCGATTTCCTTTCGTCCCGTTCGCGATCGACCCCAGACCGAACCCTAGAAGAATGGCCCGAGCGTTCCTCTCTTCTTCACGTGCCTTCGACCCGAGGTACGCCTGCCGCTCTGCCTAAAGCTTCTTTCCCGTGCCCTGCGAAAAGCTTCCATTTCGCCATTGCAGCCTCTGCCGCCACTCCCTCTGCACTCTGTCTCTACTTGCCGTTGCGACCTTGTCGCCACTCCCACCCGTCGCCTTCAAACTACGGTTCACCTCAGGTAAGTATATGTAACATCTCGTCTTCCCTGGCTATATTCACTTGGGGAGGAATTTCTGGTTCTTGAAATTTTTGGTGAGGGGGTGGTGCTGTCAAAGCTTTGGGTTTTGGGTGGTGGTGGAAATTTTGGGAAGGAGTTGCGGTTGTTGTCGTTGTTGGCTGTCGAAACTTTGGCTGTTTTTATCGAACTGGTGATCTCTCCCTTTGATTTTCCTGCTGTTAGCTTGCTTTGAGCTTGTTTCCTCCATTGTCTTGTTGGTTTGCTAGATATGCTTGTTGGTCTGCCCTATTTGAGTTCCTGCTGTTCGTGATTCGTCAGTTTAGTTTGCTAAGGGCTTTTCCACTCTTTTCTTCCTTCGTCTCAAATTCGTGGGAAGCTCTTGTAGCTATGATTAATGGGAGATATGGGCTTGCTGATATACTATAGTATTTTCATTTTATTATGGGGATTGTTTTGTAGGCAACTAGTACAAATTCTCCCAGAGGTTTATCTTGGTTGCTTCTAAGCTGAAAACATATTTTTTTTTAGAATAGTGAATTTGCTTGATTTCAGTCTTTGTTTGGGTGCAAATTGAAGAGATCGGAAGAACGTTTAATCTTGTTTTTTTGGCAAAGTCTAGTTCAATATATGCATACTTATAAGAGATGTATGTGACTGATAATTTCTTTTTTATGAATTGCTTCATTGAGAAGATATATTGCGGATATATTTATACTGTGGACTGTTAGACTCTTGTGAATTGCTTGATTGTTTACATTGTCAACCTTGAATTTAGAATAGGGTAAAGCAGCAAGTCCTTTTAACTCTTAAGTGCTTACATGCTTAGCACTTCATTTCCTAAAGTATTTACGTACCCAAGACCTTGAGCTCTACTTCCTTCACATATGTATCGCTTTAAAACCTATGGATTTCGCTTTTTAAAACAGTGGTATTTCTTTTGCAAGATGAAAGGTCACACGATCCACATATATTTACATTCATAACACCTAAACTATGTTTTCTTTTCTTGAAGGGTGATGCATTGTTAAAGATTCACATGCATGCCACTAATTGCTGGATGTTTGCATTGCACAGAAAACATAAAAATGGAAATTCACATACACACCACTCAATTCTTACATATCGAATAATTTAATTGCATGGGCTGATTTTGGCAAGTATTTAGAACATTTTAAAAACATGTTTTGTGGGTTGAATTGACTTGAGTTTAGAGCTTTTAAAAACATGTTTTGGCGATGTTTTGGGTAGGTTTTGCGCTGTTTTGGCGATGTTTTGAGCTGCAGTTTGGCCCTATTTCGGCAAGGTTTTGGGCTGCGGTTTGACTAGGGGTGTAAACGAGCCGAACACGAGCTGAGCACTCGTTTATATTTCGAGCTCAAAAAGTGTGTTCGTGTTCGACTCGTTTGTTTAACGAGCCGAACACGAGCTGTTTACGAACAAAAAGTTATTTTAACAATCCTAATCATGTAGCCAGAAGACAATAAGGGTTTGAGCAAGATTTAAAAATTATTATTTATATTAAAACATCATTTGAATCTAATTTAATAATTTTTATTCTATTTTCTTAATCAATATTTTAATTGATTATAAATCTTTGTAGCCTTGTAGTCAATTAGATTTTTTTAAAATACAACTTTTTTTTAAAGAAAAGGTATAAAAGCAAAAAAATAAAATACTACTTTTTATATATATATATATATATATATATTATAACTTGATGAGTAGTATTTCGAGCCAAACATGAACGAACACATCTTAGTTTGTGTTCGGCTCGTTAGCTTATCGAACGAAATTAACAAGCCGAACACGAGCTTCTTAACGAGCCGAACACGAGCTGTTCACGAACAACGAGCCGTTTTGACAGCTCTAGGTTTGACCCTATTTTGGGGAGAGTGATGTACCCGTTTTAGTACAGTTTTGGGGCTTTTATGCATCGAATTGGGCACTTTGTGCTAATTTTGAAGGCTTTTAAGCACCTTTTGAGACTGATTTGATCATTATTTTGAAATAATTTAAACGTTTTTAGGCCGATTCACTTGCAATTTTGCCTCTTTGCTTTGATAATTTTTTTTAGAAGTGGGTCCGACCTACTTCTCGGTTGATTTGCTTTCGTTAAAATGGTTAAGTAAAAAATGAGAATTTTGATTTAATTATTTGGAAAATACTTAAAAAAATATTTGAAAATTAGTTGAAAAACACTTATTTGAAAACAAAACACCTTAAATCACTTCAAGCACATGTTAGACGCTTAGACTTCCTAGACTTTAGAAACGCACCCTAGGTTAGAGTTCCTCTATATATTTTTCAAATGAATGATGAAATTAAGCACTTGACCTCATTCCACGAGTCAATTAAAACACTAAACATAAGGACACACATGAAGATGTGGTTCATAACTTTCTTTTAATTAAATGAAGTAGTGAAATTCTCGCGATGACTTAACCTACAGTGAAATCCAATGCTCTGGGATTTGAGCTTGAGCCTTACAGTTAAATACTCTTGACAATTGGGAACATTCATAATGTCACATATAAGTCTCATACTCCTGATTTTTTATACGTGACATCATGTTTTGTTTTACTTGTTTTTTTTATACCGGACTTTCTGACAATTTGTTTAAGTTTCCTGCAAATTGCCGTTCTTTTTATTGCATTATTACTTTAATGCACTTGCTAAACTCATTCGGTTGAAAACAATAAGACATATGTTAGGAGGTACACCGGACGCTTGATGCCGAACAATAATTATATTTGCAAATACAAAACATAAACTAATAAACTAAACTTAAAACTAAACTTAGAGTCGCTACAGTTTGGAGCTTGGAGCAAGTCTTCGTGGGCAGCACGACATAGAAATAGCAGGTGGAGTATAACGATCTACAAAATATTTTTCCCTAGTTTAAATAACAAACCATGAGACTTCGAGATAGTCTACCTAACGCGACATAAATCCTCACTTTATTGTTTAGGCCTTTGCACAACAATGTTGTGTAATTTAAGTCTTAACTCGCTTTAGGTTTCTAGGTTGTCATCTAATACGACGTAAACCCTCATATTTTCTAGGTTATTTGTATGACCGTGTCACACAAATATAAGTCCTAAATAATAAAATTGACAGGATGATATATCAAATAACATTTTCTCGAAATTGAAACCAAACAATATGATAATTTGGGAAGTCACTGAGATCTATGACATCCCATACTTTTCTTTCCTTTGTCTCAAAAAATAAATGTTTCTATTTGATCCTTTTCCCACTTGAATTTTCTTTGTCCAACATTGAAAATCCTAAACTTTGAATTCATGAAGATAGATACCTCTGATTATCATCGAGAGTTATTTTAAGTGACTTCAGTCATTTGAGAGGTAATTAGCCATAAGAGCTTGCCTCTATAGAGAGTTTTAAAAACCCAGGTAATATAAATCATATCCACTACTTAATATTAAGTAGAGGAGCTTGTCGGTCAATATAAAAAATAGTTTTTTTTTTCAAACTAAAACGGACGTCATAAATTATTTAGTTTATTTAATCGAGCATCAATATCAAGTAGTGTATCTATCCTTCGAGGTAGATATATTGTTTGCACTGTTGTGCTGGATCATTTAAACTATCGCATATATGAGATCGGTTCGGTCTTATATTTTCAAAAATTGAAATATTACTTTTTCTAATATATATATATATATATATAAATTAAATTAAACATTTTTTTTAAACCGTGTATATAATTAAACATCCTTTAAAATCGGGCGTTGAGATATCCATTCCGGCGGCCGACAATTTCTAATTTGGTGACCGACAATTTCTGGCGAATCCGCTGGGGTCTAACTCTACTCTCCATTATGATCAGTAGGTTTCTGTTTTCATACATCGGTAATGCGTCCACATGTCCCTCATGGACTAGATTACTATTCTTTTGTTGGCTTGTTTCGCTCATTTCTTTCGTGGGCAAGCACGATCAACACCTTTGGTTTTCAAATCATCTGTTTGACCAACCTAAACAGAGTGGTTCAAGAACTTTTAGGGTTTTTTCTTTTTTTGTGTGGGGTCGGACCCCTATTAGGTGTGTTGGTGCACGAGGTGCATTGTGAAATCAGCCCCGGATCGGGTCCTGAATTTCACTTTTGATGTCTACCCTCTTACCTTCCCTTTAAATTCTGAAATTAAGCGAACTCCGTTAACAAATATATAAGAAAAGAAACACACTTCGAAATCCGTAAATAAAGATAAAATAAGACGCAAGTATCAAATCAAATTGAAAGGAATAAAAAATAATGTACATAAATTAAATTCAAAACAAAAAAAAAATCTAAAAAAATCGCCCAGTTAACATTACAAGTGCGTCAACTTGAGCACTTCCGTTGAAACTGCAATGCTCGGGACGTCGCTGACTTTCAGAAATTCTTCAAATGACAGAGACAATGTCTTCGCCAAAGTTGATCTTTTCTTTCACTACCGGAGTTGAGTTTGTTATCAACAGGAGCGAGCTGCCTGACTTGGCAGTCATTAAATTTGGACAAGGATTCGACGATGTTGAAACCAAGTTTGGGGATGTGGCCGTCGCAGAAATGAACAAGTCCGTTAACCCTGTTTTGGATTTCAATTTTAAGCCTGCTACAAGATTCTCCTCTCTGAAGAGATCGTTTGAAAAGAACTCTTCTATTGTTATGGGGTCGACTGCTGGGAATGTTGGGATTGCTCCCGGAGCTGTTCCTGCTCTTACCGCCGGATTCACCACCGCTGTACCTGTTGCTCCACCAACTAAAGGAAAAGAGATTCTACACGAGGAAGAGTCGGTCGACGCTTATACCCTACCGTTTTTTGGATTCGAGATGGGGTCCAATTCAAAGTCCATGCAACTGACGAGGGCATAGGAAAAGAGGCGCCGTCAGAAAATTCTGAAAGCCGAACAGACCTCGACGGTCTCGCCAGCACCTGCAGCAATTCAGTCAACAGTCAGCTCAGCAAAGACCTTATCTTACAGAGGGAAAGTCATCTGC